CCCCCCCTTGCGGATCAGGTGTCGAAAAAGATGGAGGAATACCTGGGCGAGGACGAGCCGACGCTGGTCAACTTTGTGCTCGACAAGCTGGCCGCGCGCACCGCCGCCGCGGAGGTGGAGGCCGAGGTGGCAAAGGTGCTCGACGAGGAGGCGGAGCCCTTCACCGTCAAGCTCTGGCGCATGCTCCTCTTCGAGATCAAGCGCGCAAAGGCGACGCCGAGCTGAGGCCCCGCCAGCCGCCGCGGCGGCCGCGTCAGCGGCGCTCTGTCCTCGCGCGCCGATCGCCGGCTGCGCGCGGTGCAACGCCTCGCGTCGTTGTTCCGTACCCACATGCCGTGTGTCGCACCTCGCGCACACGGAGACGGTGCAGCCGCTTCGGCAGCGCTTTTGCGCGCGCGCAGCGGGCACGAGAGGCAGTAGGCCGGCGGCCGGCGGGTAGTATGGGGTTATAATATAAAAGCCGCGACATGCCAAGTACAAGCTCAGTGTATGCGGTATATCTGTGTAGCAGTCTCACGACCGCGCGGGAACACCGCGGACCCGGGGGGGCGGGACAGGACCGCACCGGTGCCACCGGCACCGCGCGCGTCTCAGGCGTCCCTATTTGAGTGACAGTGACACCCACGCATGCGCATGCGATATGCTACGTCAGTAGCACGACAGGCTACCATTTGCCAGTATGCGCCGACTAGAATGGCCAGTACCACCTGCGGCGGAAGGAGTCCACGAAGGCGGCGAGCTCCTTATCAGTGCCACACGCACGCGAGAGGTCCTTGGCGTGTGCACGCAGGAACGACGAGACGTCCGCCCGCTCCTGTGCGCGGTGGAAAGAGGAGTGGTGAGAGAGGAGCGCTGGACGCAGACGACGCGCGAGAGGACAATGCAAGTGGAAAGAGCGGGAAAGGACGTGCGAGTGAGTGGTGACTAGACTCGCGGAGGGCCCGACCGTGCGCGATGTAACCCGCTTGGCCGAGGTGGAGGAGGGGGGCGGCTTCTAGAGTCGCGGCGCGGGCTCGGCGCCTGAGCCGTGAGATGCTGGACCGCTGGCATTGGTCGAGAAGCCAGGTAGGTGGCGTTTATTTTTGCTTGGGGCGGCACGTATGGCAGGGTAGGTAGGGTAGGTCTGGGCCCTCCCGTCGGGTTTTTCCCTCTCTTCAAGCTGGAATTTTCACAGCAGAAAAAGAAATTTTCCGCGGAAATCACGATGTCAACCCTCCCCAAATGGGTGATCTGATGCTTGTAGGGCTTGAGAGTGGCCTCCCATGTCACAAGAAGGACTGTGGATGCAGGAGAGTACCACCAACCATCACTCTAGTTGGTATAGTACCCCACCTTCACCCATCCGGTGATTCTTTT